CAAGAGCTTGTAACACTCCAAAGAGAAAGGAAAAATTGAAATCGCATCATATGACCCCTTTAAGGAACTGCCCACTCATATAGTAAAAAACAAATGCTAATTTTTTTAATAAAATGTAAATATTTGTTTACTTCAGGACAATGAAGAAAAATAGTTAGTGATTTTTAAAAGAACTAAAATGCTCCTTAATGTATAATTGTAAGATCATAATATTGTACAATAACAACAACAACAATAATAATAATTATGTACACTTTATTAGAATTACACAGTAAATAATAATAATAATAATCCTTATTATTATTGTTATTATTTACTGTGTAATTCTTAAAAAGTGTACAGGATTATTATTATTATTAATAACAAGAAAACGTGCCTAATGTATAATTGTATTATATATTATTGTACAATAATAATACAATTAGTATAATAGTACAATAATAATACAATTAAATATGCAGGAAGACTTTTTTAATTGTGAAGTTTCGTTAGAAGTGAGCGTCTATGCGCTCATCTCACTAGTTCAGAACACAATTAGCGCGTATGGACTGTTCTATTATAACAGTCACAAGCCTGTTATAGGACTTGTTATCTTCCTCACCACTGGGGGCAGTAGAGGGCAACATGTTTTTTGTATAAGTCAAGTCATATGGTAGAAGGAGAGGATGTGGCATGCAAAAGCTAAATCATGGCCTTGCCATATGCTTCTTGAGTCCTTGTTGGGAAACCTGTGTTTTAATGCTCAACTGAAAGTAAGTGATGTTATATTGAGTATGAGATGTGTTTAACTTATTTTCTCTTTTGGTTTTGCAAGTGTTTGAATTATAATATGTGGACTGTATGTTTATTATGGCTTCTTTGATTTTTGTAGAAGGACTTTTTGTGTGTTATCTGGAGGATTATGGTCTCTGACCATACATAGACTTCTCCACAATTCTTCAGGCAAATATCAACTTTGTACAGCTGTTCCATGACCTTTGAGGCTTGAGTACAGCATGAAAAGGAATTAAGATATTGAATTGATATTGATATTGCTTGATTTTAACACTGAACCATTTGTCACCAGGAGGGAACCTATTAGAGAGCTCGTCAGTACGTTCAGTGAACTGTATATCGACTCTGAAGATGAAGAGGAAAGAGTTGTTGAGTTTGTTGATAACCTTTCTTTTCCACCACCTCCACCACTCGAAATGGAAGAAAGACCAGAGTTCAACTCTTTATCTTCTGTTATGGACAGTTTGGAACAGCTAGAGGAGAGACTCACAAATATGGAAAAAGGATTGGAAGAATGTAATAAAAAGGTGGGTGAAGGTTTTTCTCAGGCAGAAGTGGAGAGTAGATGTAAGAAAATGGAAGACAGACTAACCTATCAAATGGAGAGGGAATGTTCTAGAATTCAGCAAAAACTTGAACTTAGTATCCAAGACTTAGGTCGCTCAATGGTAGATTGTTTAAAACGAAGAGACACCCAGATTGACAATAAGTTCAAATCTCTCATCCCTCTGAAGTCAACTCCAATTCGTCCAACCCAAAGCTCCATCCCGCCACCCTCAGTTTCCCAATTCAATAACCAAACCTATCAAGTTCAATCAAGTTACACTCAGTTGTCTGGTTCTGGAAGCCTTTCGGCAGTTCCACCTGTAAAGATAGAGTTCCCAAACTTTAATAGCAGTGAAGATGATGATCCCGTTTCATTTATTGAGAGATGTGAGGAATATCTAGCCATTCGACCCTTGTCTGACTATGAAATACTAGCTTCCCTTACCTCTGTTTTAAAAAAACACTGCAAAAGATTGGTGGGTGGCTGAGAAGAGAAATGTACAGACCTGAGAACAATTTAAGAAAGTCTTCCTACATTCATTTTTGAATGAAGACTATGAGGATGAAACAGCTAGAAGGCTCTTAGAGAGAAAACAAGGTGCACAAGAGAGCATACGAGATTTTGCTTTTTACTACAGAGCCCTCTGTTTAAAATGGAAAAAGGATATGTCCGAAAAAGAGATTTTGCAGTCCATTCTTAGAAATTGTAACCCACGTTTAGCCAGCCTACTTAGAGGAACAGTACGAAATGTTGGTGAATTAGTAAGAATTGGAACACAAATTGAGAAAGATTTGGAGGAATCAAAAAGATATTGGAATAATGTTAACTCTGAGGCTCAAAGAAAGAAGTCACAACTTAACCGAGAAACAGTTCCTAAACCTCCCCATGCTAACACAAGAGTAATGCAATCAGTCCAAAGTACTTCAATACAAGATCCGAACATGATTACCTTACCTATCCTGCTGAGAAATAGGTACTTACAAGCTGTCATCGATACAGGAAGTACACTTTCTTTGATTCAGGAATCCTGCTGGAGGCAACTGAAAAATCATGAGGTATGGAAGTCAAGTAATGGACAAAATTTTCTACTAGCAAACGGCCAAAGTCAAACAGCTTTAGGAAAATCTGATTGGGAGTGTGAACTGCAAGGCAAGATGTTCAATTTAACCTTGTATGTAATGAGAGACTCTGATCTGACCATTCCAATCATCCTGGGAATGGATTTCTTGATGACTTCAGGAATAATATTAGATTTTAAGAACTTACAATATTGTTTTTCTCCCAATGATCATGGCATTGTGCAGAGATTCCCACTGTGGTCTCATGAATTTTCCAAACCTTCACTCCAATTTTATCTTGCACTATCTACACCACAAATGACAGTAGAAACCTTACAATCCATCAACCAACTGGTCCTGAAATCAGACTCCACTGATCAATTTAAAAATCAACTAGAAAGTCTGATGAGAAATTGGCCAACTGTCTGTACTCACGAAATTGGTCACTCCAAAATGGTAAGACACCGAATCATCACAACAGATGAAATACCCGTTAGGAAGAGAGCATACAGAGTGTCAGTACCCAGACAACAGTTCGTTGATAATGAAATTCAAGAGCTGTTAAGTAAGAATATTATTCGTCCCTCAGTTTCTCCATGGGCTTCACCTGTTGTCATTGTACCTAAAAAAGGAGGTGATTTAAGACTGTGTGTGGATTATCGGGGCCTGAATGCCAAAACCCACTTGGATGGTTATCCCATGCCCCAGATCCAAGACATACTGGAGTCTTTATATGGAGCATCAATATTCAGTACACTAGATTTGAAGAGCGGATACTGGCAGTTGGAAATGGAAACTGACAGTATTCCAAAGACTGCATTTGTAACAGCAGCAGGGCAATTCGAATTCTTGCGTCTTCCATTTGGTCTTAAAAACTCTGCAGCATCATTTCAAAGGTTGATGGAGTGTATTCTCAAAGACATTAGAGGGAAGTGTTGCTTTGTTTATATAGACGATATAGTAGTGTATTCGAAAAATGAACACGAACATTTACAACACCTGAATCAAGTCTTCAGCTTTAGTAATGGTCAGTGTTTCTTCTGTGACTATTTACAGAGTCGGTAAGTGTATGATGCCTAACGTTTTAAAGTCTGTTCATTAATTTGCATTTTATTAACCTGATCATTCACATTTGTGTATTTCCTTATACAGATCCTGAGAGCACACTTAATTCATTGTAGGTGCTGGAAACACACCGGCGCCAGTCAAAATCTGCTGCTGTGCCTGAACCCTGATTCTGTCTGCACTTTCAATAAATCAGGTGGGTTAAAAACTCAACTACTTGGGGTCCACATAAATTCTGATAAAAGGGCAGTGCATGCTACATTTAACTGTGACCTGTGTGATTTTCACAATGTTTGTAGTTTGGAAAACTTAAAGACAATTTTCTATATTTCTTTTTCTTTTTTACACGTGTTTTACCTGTGTTTTGAATTCCGCATTGGAGGTAGTGTTTTAGTGTTGAAGGAAATGTCCGTAAATTTAATGGAAAATGCCAAGACGTTGTCTGTTTTTCTGTGTTTTGTGTTTTATTCTTACAGTGCACAAACAAAACTTTGTTGTTGAACAAGTTGAGTTTGTATTCAGTAGACAAAAAAAAAAAGTGAAATGAGAACTATCCTGAACCATTTTAACGAGCCAGTATAATTCCTATGGTTATGAATCCCTTTGAAAGTAGCGGCTATACATTTTCATTGACAGTTATTTTGTCTATTTGAGTCCCCGTGGTGTTTTTTTTTCTCTCATAAATGTATTACTTTTTTTGTCCCAGCATTACAATTTTTCAAGATTTGTACAGTCTGTTTTTGTGGATTTGTTGCCCTAAGCACTGACACTTTGTCCATCCCTAATACATTTTCAGTATTTTTAACATTCAATTATGATCTGTAAGGAATCATACAGAAGTAAATTATAATTTCCCCCCCCACCTCCTACAGACAACAGACACCCCATCACAGACACAACATGGCTCTATGGGGACTCCCGTTTTACCTCAGGGAACCAAATCTCCAAGATTTATTTGGTAGGTTTTCAAATTTTGTTCTTCTCATATTTTCATTGATCACCATTTGTTTATGAAATGTGTGGCTATATTTAATAAAGGTGCAGACATGGTTTTCATGTGGGTTGTTTTCATCAAGTGTTTATATCAGGTTAGCACATAATGCACCATGTTTTGAAAGAGTGTATTTGAGCTTTGATTTTTATATCTACACTCTTGCTCAACCAGTTTTCAATAAATTTACATAATTCTTTCTTAGGACACTGATAAAGAGGAGTGAAACTGGGCATCCTTTAAGTCATGGAGGACGACTTCTCACAGAGAACTAGAGATGACTAAACTTCTGCATCATCCTGGAGGAAACTGTGGTAATGGAGGACCATCTGACTTTCCCACTGCTTTTAATGGTACTCTTTGGACTTCTCTATGTGCTGATCACATTTGTGTGGTTTGCAGATAGGTGCACTTCTATTTTATAGACCATCCTTCATATTTTGAAAGTTTGTGTTCCTCATATACATGCTACTGATTAGTCATGTTTCATATTTAGTGGCAGAGTTTTGTAAAACTGTTTAACTGCAGTGTTTAATTCACTGTTGAATCACTTTGGCTTAAATATTTGTGAATTTAAAAAGCATGGAATTACAGGATTTTTATATTATGATGATAGCAGTTCTATCTATGTATTGATGCAGGTTTTGGCAGGTTAGTGCAATATATGAAATTTTGTTTCATGTGAGCAATATTTAAAGGGAGAGTTTACCCAAAAATTAACATTTACTCTGTTCTATCTCAAACTCATATGACTGGCTTTCTTCTTTAGAACACAGAGATATTTTCATAGACTGATATGTTTACATCCATAAAATGAAAAGTAAAAGGGTTTCAAAGTTTTTGGGGGGGGGGGGGGGTGTTGCCTTGCCTTGCCTTGCCTTGCCTTGCTCAAGGGTATTGGAAGAGAGCGCTGGTTATTCACTCCCCCACCTACAATCCCTGCCAGTACAGAGACTCGAACCTCCAACATTTGGGTTATAAGTCCGACTCTCTAGCCATTAGGCCATGAATTTTTTGGAAGTTTAGACTTGTCCTCCTCAATGTCTATGGTGGTTACAGCTCTGACTTTAAGAGAAATGTATTGTAATGATGGGTATACTTGCATGTTTAATTGCCTTAAACAGGCAAATGTTTGAAAACATTGTCTTAAAAAATTGCTCTTTTGAACAAATGTTTTATTAATGTTGTGTCAGTGTTTTCAGTTTTTGACTTGGACACTGTTATTGCAGTTTTCAGTTGTAACATATTATTTCTTAGTACCAATTTCCAGTAGCATTTTTTTGTTCAGTCAACTTCAGGTATTTGAGTTCTACAGACAAATGTTGAGTTGGCACAACTTAAAAAGGTTTGTTATAGAATCGTTGCACATCTCTAGAAAACGAACAATCTTGAGTTAACTCTACTAAACATTTTTTGTATGACTGACAGCTTCTTTTCAGTCAGTATAGTATAACTGCTTTTTTACAAAAGTTGAGTGAACAAGAAAAAGCTAGGGGAAATTAGTACTAAGATTTTTTTTGTTGTGCTGGCTTAAAATTTTTACAGTGTACTACTGGTGGTTTGGTTTCATATTTAAAAGTATCATTGCATTTTTTCCCCAACATTTCTTATTTGTATGTCCAATATTTTTTTAAAAACATTAATCTAATCTCATTATTTATGCATACAACACATTTATGCGGCGTGAATGTATTTATAGCACCTCTCAGCTTCATCATACAGTCTGTGTAAATGCATCTAATGCTGCTTCTTGTTCTTCCGCATTGGAAAGATGGAGTTTGATGATACTGATTTCTGAACTCTACAGTTTTTTATTATTCTAACCGAATTAATTGAAACAATGTAATTTGATGTGAAAGATGACATATTTAATAAGGTTAGGGAAAAATGGCTATTTATAAACAAAATGGGAAATGAAATCTGTTTTGTTATATACAGCAACTCATTTCTACTTCTTTCCAGTCACAGAGTTGTTTATGTGAGAGAAGATCTGTAACTTAGTCCAGATTGGGGGAAAGTATAATGTTTAATAATTTATTTTATGATGTAAATATTGTGTTTGCATTGAAAAAGGTAGATTTTTGTCTGTATGTGCTGTCAATTATAGTTCTTAGAAAGAAAATTTGAATTGGCAGGTCACACTTACAAAAAAATCGGAAATCAAAATCAGCCAAGAAAATTGCAATTAGTTCATCTCTAAATAAAACCAAGGTTTTTTGAGGTAATGTGTAATGTAATCATGTTAAAACGGATTTCATAAAATTGGTATCGAAAAATGTATCTTTCAGGAACCGATATTAGAGTCAAGGTATCTATATCCATATAGGAAATTTTTGAACGACACCTATGGTTGTCCTGTCCCCAGTCCTATGGGTGAGTAGCTGAGAAGTGTCTTAAAGTTAGTATTGAATATTGTGTGAGCGAGGGAGTGTGAGAGCAGGCGCTTAAGTGAGTGAGTTCAGACAGGAAGTGGGTGTGCGAGTTATAAAAAGTGTCTGGCGGTGAGCACTACTTACTATTGTACCTTTAAAAAACCCAACTGTATCCGCGTCATTTTTTCATGAATGACTTTTGGGACCTCACCTTGTCCGTCCAACAAAGATGTTTACTGTTAGCTGCTCTCACAGCAGCAAAAAAATTACTAGTCAACCGTTGGAATCCTCCTCACACAATGGACAGACGAACCTGTACTGTGTATTTGTTGGACATTATCTTGATGGAACTCTCAACTTCTCGTATACATGGATCTAACGTGAAAACTGTAAATTTATGGCATTCAGCTTTTAATGTTGCGTCAGCTTTTCTAAAATCTTTGTAAAATAATTATTTTATTGCTATTTATTTATCTATTATTATTAATTCATTTATTTGTATTACTATTTATTTATTTGTATTTATTTATTTATTTTTTATTTTTATATACATATTTTTTATTTTATTATTTTATTATTATTATTATAATTTTTTTTTCTACCAGGGTTGGGGTGGGTTCTAAATTTGCACAGTTGCTTTTTGTTTTATATTGCTATTCCCAAAAGAAAATTAAGAACAGTTGCTAACAAAACGACACCTATGGGAAGTCGTGGCCTAATGGTTAGAGAGTCGGACTCATAACCCAAAGGTTGTGGGTTCGAGTCTTGTACCGGCAGGGGTTGGAGGTGGGGGGGGGGGAATGTACAGCACTCTCTCCCACCTTCAATACCACGACTGAGGTGCCCTTGAGCAAGGCACCGAACCCCCAACTGCTCCCCGGGCACCGCAGCATAAATGGCTGCCCACTGTTCTGGGTGTGTGTGCACTTTGGATGGGTAAATGCAGAGCACTAATTCCGAGTATGAGTCACCATACTTGGCCACACGTCACGTCACACTTTTCGCAAAAAAATTAAAAACCCATCAATCAAAATGTGTGTCAGACTTGGTGAGATTTTTTTATAAGTTGTAATGCCATTAGTGCTTTGTGAACCTCTGATTATATTTGAACCACATCGGAAATATTTTCTGGACAAAAAACTGCTTGTGGTTCTGTAATTCACCCATAAACATCTTTACTGGACACACAACCACATTCACATGAACACAGCACAATGGATGATTACATTAATCCAGTCCAGGCTGCTTCATACACACGTCGGATTTGGAGGTTCATTGTATTAAAATTAATAAACAGCCTCTAGTAACGTCTTTGGTTAGCGTAAACATATGAGTGCAAGTACACGCTCACACACAGCGCGACAGACGTGCGCTCACACTCAGTATGCGTGGCGTCTCTGTTTCGTGTCCGCTCCGCTGAAGCTTTATTAGGTTGTAAAGGCAGCGAGAGCTTGTCAGAAATCTTTTTTTAATCCTCTTGATTTCGACACTGAGCATCGCCAGCATTCCTCATGAAATCACTCTTTCCATTTGTTCACCTTGTGCCATGTGATCCAGCAGTGAGAGACCAGACAGGTGAGGAGTGGAGAGGGGAGAAGAGAGATGAGGTAATGAGGTAATTGCTGCTTATAGTTGCTGGATTGTTGCTGTCTTTATAGTTTAGGGTTTAGTAATTTTTTATCAAATAAATGCAGCCATAGTGAACAAAGAAACATTTTTTAGAAGGATTTATAAAAAGAAACAAATTAAAAATAAATAAATACATTTACAGACCCCAAACTGCATGTTAGTGTTTATTGCAAAGAAATGCACCTGAACAGTGTCTGTTGGACATGATCCAAAATTAAATTAATTATAAAGGGCTTCCAAACAGTTGACGAAACTACTCCTTGAACAGCTGAAGATATGTAGTGTAGTTCTATAGTGTAGTTCAAAGGCAACAAACCAACACAAGTCTCGCTCTGATCAGAGGGGAAATTTACAGTGAGAAGCAGCGGCACCCTCGAAAAAAACCACAGACAACTTATAATTAATTCTCTAATGTTTAACCATTGTTGAATCATTCTACCTAACAAGACATTGGCTAAAACACAACAGAGACCATTAACTTAAACAGTCTTATCACTGTACTCCATCACGCAGTGACAGATTATTGATCCGGTGATTCAGCTCACACACATTACTCATGAAACACTAGCCTGACACTAATGCCTCTGTTCTGGACAGTCCCACACACAGGAAGCCTGTGTCCCCGGATTAATTAGACCATCACTCAAACTATGACCAAAGGAAATGAAAATAATATGTAGCAGGGACATGCAAAGATAAAAAAAAGAAACAAAACAATGGAAGTCAATGGCTACTGTCAACTGTTACCAACATTCTTCAAAATATCTTCTTTTGTGTTCAGCAGAGGAAAGAAAGTCATAAAAGGTTTGGAGCAAGTGGAGAGGATAAGTAAATGATGACAACTTTCATTTTTGGGGGAACTACCCCTTTAAGCATGTTTCTGGATTGACTCTTTTAGCAGGCTCCTTTCATTTAGCATAATGGTCTTTGTACAAAGACACATTTCCATCAACAAACATCACCGAAATAAACATCTCTCACAAAACCATAAAAAGCCAGCAAAACAAACGTTAGTCTCTATAGTTACATGCATGCCAGCATGGTTTTGATTTGGAAGGCTCTAAAAATGCTTTAAAAAAGAACAATGAAAAAAGAAACGACTGCTCATTTAAATATTTTTTTCTTTGAGGGAATTATGCTGTATATGAGTTTCTTGTTTATTTAATGAAAAAGTCATTGTTTAGCAGGGTTGTTATGACAGACTGCAAAGGTTAGCCGATCTTATGTAATGGTCAAGAGCATGGTGAGCTGTCAAATGTGGGTTAGCTGATGAATAACGTGTGTAACGTGGTGTGTGAAATCCAATGCTACGGTGAACTCCTTGCTGTTTTTTTAACAGCAAACACTCTCCAAAAACATGCTGTATTGGTTAACTTGTCTACATGCCATCTGTATCCATTTTTGATGGGTTTCCCATGGAAATTTGGCAGACAGATGCATTCTCGACTGAGTTGTAGCATCTGCGCATACACTCCAAATAAGCTCCTTGTTAAACCAAATCATCTTTCCCTTCTCAAAAGACCTCAAGGCTTATGGTTCCAGCGTTCAGAACCACTTTTCTTTTGGTGCAAAGCTCTCAATGTTTCAGAGCTGAAAAAAAAAAAATGAGCGCAAGGAATGATGCAAACCAAAATGGATTTCCATGGTTAGTCCTGACAGTTCTGAACTCTGGGGTTCTTGTGTAACACGGCTCACCGAAAGACAAAACCACAAACACAGCAGCAAAAAAAGTGGTCTTTGAAAGTTTTCCTCCAACATATTAAGAAACATTTCTGTTCCATTTAAGAAATATAAAGGGATGATTCTGGTTAGACAATAGTCTCAGAAGAAATCTATGTATCAATCAAACCTCAATGTTCAGAATACACTGTCACAGATGGCCTGAAATGTGTGGGGATACATTAGAAATCTCATCAGTCTCTAGTTCACCCAAAAATGAAAATGGTCATGAATTACTTACTCTCGAGTCGTTCCGAACCTGTAAGACCTTTGATCATATTTGGAACACAAATTAAGATAGAGAGCTTTCTGACCCTGCATAGACAGCAACGCAACTGACACGTTCAAGGCCCAGAAAGGTAGTAGGACTAGGAGATGTCACGAGAACCGATACTACGGTTCCAAGTCGGTGTAAACATGTTAAAATCCTGCCGGTACTTGTTTTTCTTCAGTAGCGTAAGTAACGATGGTACCGAAGGTAGCGACTAGCGAGGCTGCAATTCTTCCGGAACTGATGGGGGCAGGCAGAGCATACACCTGGAAGTGTTTCAGTCGGATCTCAAAGGGTAAAGAAGAAGAAAAAATGCCTACAACAAGCACACAGAAATACTACACGTGGAAGATGGCGACGATATATGAATATGATTGTGTGAGATTTAAATGAGAGTACGCAGCTCTGAAAGCACGAGCGCTGCACATGATCACGCACACACATAAAGTTACTGACCTTGTTCATTCATTGTTTAGCATCCTGCTGATTATTCTTATTAACATTATTGGCTAATATTACTGGTTTAAATAATGGTTAATAATATGTATTATGATATGTTAATAATAACAATATGTTAATTGTTTTAAAAAATATTTTCGGCCTGCCAGTATGTCAGTGAAATGAAACTAATGCTTGCATTTAGAGTATAGGTGTGTTTGTGTGTTATTTGAAGGCCAAGTGCCACTAATGTTTAAGTATTATTGTTATTTTTTCCCCCGTGGTATCGACTTGGTATCAAGTATCGTGTATTTTTAGTGGTATCGGTACAGACTACTAGCTTTTTGGTATCGTGACATCGCTAGTAAGGACATTGTTAAAATAGTCCATGTGACATCTGTGGTTCAACCTTAATTTTATGAAGCTATGAGAATATTTTTGTGTGCAAAGAAAACAAAAATAACATGCATGCATGTGCATTCCTCTCTTTGCAACCAAGGCGCAGCACATCCGGGATCTACGTCAGAATGCTGGCTCCTGCGTCAGCAGCACCACACGCATGTGTCGTGATACTCTCGTGAACACGCGGCAGAGACTGACTTGAAAGAGAAGAAATCGTTGAACAAAGTTATTTACATTTTCTTTTGTGCACAAAAATATTCTCGTAGCTTCATAAAATTACAGTTGACCACTGATGTCACATGGACCATTTTAATCATGTCCTTACTACCTTTCTGGGCCTTGAATGTGGTAGTTACGTTGCTGTCTATGCAGCGTCAGAGAGCTCTGAGATTTAATCAAAAATATCTTAATTTGTGTTCCGAAGATGAACGAAGGTCTTGCAGATTTGGAATGACATGAAGGTGAGTAATTACTGACAGAATTTTCATTTTTGGGTGAACTATCCCTTTAAATGAGGCCTAAAATATTGAGACCGGTATGACTACAAAAAGTCAAAAACAACATTTCTTCTTTTCTGTTGTTCATGTCTTCTCTTCTCGGGAAATGTATTTTCTGCGACCGGCTTGGTGCTGAATCTGCCAGGCCAGATTGGGTCATAAATATGAATTTATTATGTTAATTACATTCGGTCTAACTGATTAACTGAAGGCCAGATGTTGGTTGATGAGTGTGAGTGTGTTTGTTCAGCTCACTGCTAAATGAAATGGTTGGTAGAATTTTCTGCTTGATCCTAAAGCCATTATAGTGCACAATTTTTCTTGGCACCTTCGTCAAGCAAAATACAATTCTTTAAATATAATAATTTTCCAAACGTACTAAATACCTGTAATACACACAAACACACACAAGCACCCACACTCCTGACTGAAAGCCAAAATCAACAAAATGAGGTGAGGATTGATGTTCTCCTACCAGCTGATGCGCGAGGACGATCCGGATCAGCGGCTCAGTAGACAGGTTGAATGACAGGGCAGGAGACGGTTCCACCTTCAGAGAAATAAGATGACTGGCCATCTGGATCTTATGATCTTTAAAATCCACTGCCTCATTTATCCTGCAGAGATGGACAGTCAGTTATTGTCTACCCTTCAACTACTGTACAAATTCTACATAATGAGCAAAGAAACGTATGTTAATGACAGTTATCTGCAAAGAAACAAGTAATGATAATATTAAGATAACAATAATCATATCAAAACAGAAATACAGCAAGATTGTGGTTTTGTTTTTATAGAACAGTTCACTAAACGAGGTAATTACTGGCAGTTACATTATTCAATTACATTGTCTGTTTTTGCTTTGCCAATGAAAATAGTTTCAAACTAAGGCCCAATCCCAATTCTACCCCTTAGCCCTTCCCCTTTCCGCTACCCCTCCGTTTCGCGCGTTCATGTGAAGGGGTAGGGGTGTCTCGATTCTCTCTTGGTTGGAGGGGTAGGGGTAGGGGTAGGGGTAAGGGTAGGGGAAGGGCCAGATAGCCCTTCAAACGAAGATTTTTCAGGACCACACTTCAAACGAAGGGGTAGGCCTATGAATTATCTCAGCGTAAACCAGCTTCATGTCAAGCAACATGGCTGCCCGAGCGAACAAAAAGACACATAAATGTAAGCATTTTTGGCATTAATAAAGATTTTAACGAAAAGTAATTTGTTTTATGTTACATTCAATCGTGAGTTCATATTTACGGTCATGTTACTCAAAGAAATGTTTGCAAAAATCGCTTAAGTTTGCTAACGTCATATCATTACAGACGGCACGATAGTGCCACAACATATTTTAATGTCTGATCAGGGCGATAACCACCGTAGACATTGAGGAGGGCTAGTACCCCCAATAATTATAAATCGCTAAACCCTTTTGGTAGGGGAAGGGGAAGGGGTAAAAAATAGAATTGGGATTGGGACTAAGTCACAGCAGAATCAACTGTTCAGCATCTCAGAGCAACAGTAGTGGCGTTTGTTTTGTTCCTGCGTTAATCAATGTTTCTAAATGTATCTGTTGAGCTAATGACTCAGTGACTCACTTACTTGTTTCCTTAATGAATGAATCAGTGTTTTTAAGTCGTCACATTTATTTTGATAGCGCTTTATACAATAGAGATTGTTTCTAAGCAGCAGTAATACTCTTTCCACATACTGTTTTTTACCTACTATATTGAGGGGAATTGTGCAATTTCGGATGCATTCACTCACTTGTTTCCTTGCTACATTAAACAGTGTTTTTGAACAAATCAGATGAATGAATGATTCACCGACTCACTTATAAAGACAGTCTCTTGTCGCCACCTACTGGTGTAAGGATGTAACACACCAAAAATGCACAAACTGACAGTCTGTCTGGGACACTATATAGTTGATAGCACATATAACATTTGTATTGACTTAATTTTGGGTTCTCATTAATGTTTAAATGTTTAATCAATGTTCATTAATGTTTAAATAAAGAATTTAACCTGCATCATCTCTCAGCTCTGGTGGCCAGTTAAGTTACATAAAAAAGGCCAGCTGAGTTCCAGTGCTGTGCTAAAAAAATTAAATGAGATAAGTACTGATCATGGCTGTGTTAAGATGGAAAGAGAGTGTTATCAGCCAACTTAATGGCTGGGAGTATCAGACGCAGAGGCCCAGATGAGAGAGAACCAGAGTGATAAAGACATGCTCGCAAGAACATGATGTACAGCAGGAAACACACACACAAACACTTTACCTTGTTTGTAGAGGGCTGATTTTTTTGTAGTAGTTGTGCATTTTGTGGTAGAAAAGTCCCACGATCGTGGTCTGAGCTGCAGGGGAAACATACAAAAGTATTAACATTTGATCACACAGATGCATGCGTGTGTTGAAGAATGTGTTGGGCTGCCGTTGAAATGCACAGAGAGGATAGACTCATTATCACAGACACTGCATGCAGTCCTCTCTCTGCAGCTCTAATGGGAAAGATGTGTGTTCACACACACATGCAAGTAGAGAGCGATGAGGGACCACCTCGTGTGCGAGGGAGAAATATGTTACACTTTACTAATGATAAACACACAGGGCCATTTCCCTTTGAGTTCAACTTCAGTATTCACATGAAAACACAATCATTGCTATCATAATTTGATTGAAGAATTTGTGTAAATAACCTTAATAACAGTAAAATAACTGTTGTGGACCATTGGATATGGCAATATCATTTCATCAGGGTTTGAATTGGAGCCGCACAATTTATAGTATAAATAACTTACATTATGATTGGGATCAAAGTATCATTTTTAGTATAAAAAAAAGAGCAAGCAGTTTCCCCACACAAAATAAATATTTAAAATGTAAAAATTATTTAAATAAACAAAATAACAAATTTATTTTATATTTTCATTTTAATTTTAGTTTTGGTTTCAATAGTTGTATTATGTGCTTTTTTCATTTTTTATTCTTTTTTATTTCTATTTATCTATATTTATCTTCTATAAGTTATCTTCATCTAGTTTTTATTTTTTATTTCAGTTTTAGTAATTTAGAATAAACCTTTTTTGTTACTTTTTAAGTTTTTCATCTAATATTAATATTTTGTTTCAGCTTCATTTTAACTACCAAAATCAATTTGTAATAGTTCTAGTTTAAGTTAACCATAACAATATCAAAACAAAAGAATAATCAACTATCATGATTTTTGGTTCCTTTTAACTACAATCTGCTTGTGAAAAAAGCAACCATAGTGATGCTTGTTCGCAGTTTTGGTTATTGTGAAACATGCTGAGAACTGTTGCAACTTATTAGTGTTTTTACAGGTGTTAATGGACCGAATATGCAATATCATTGTGTCCCAACTCCTCTGAGTTGGGCTTCAGATGAACTCTGGGCCGATAACCTCACAAATCAATGGGCAAAATCTTTCTACAAATGTTTTTATTAAGACTAAAAGAAACTTGGCCCAGCGGAAATACAGAGCGTTTCAATGCGCTCCTTCTCTTGCGGTCTATAATTGGCGTATAAAAGCTCTGCTAGGTTCTGATAATGAAGTGTACCATATGTCCGGCTGCACAGGAGAAGCAGTTCAGTGGCACGTTAATGCCAGCGCTAGCGTTTATGTGCCATTTCTGATAATAGAGCTTTAATAGATTATTAAAACTGTTTATAATGAACAGAGCGGGGCTCAGGTTCAGCACTGTGCCAGAGGAGCCGAGGGGAGCTGACCCCAAAACGCTGTCAAACAAACAAAACATTTAATGCCCTCATAATTACCGCCACCACATGGGAAACATTGTAACACTCACTCTTCAGCTATTGCTCGCATTTACACATAAAAAAGAAGGCAAATGCACACACTTTCTCTGTTTTTAATTAAACTCTCCTTGAGGGACTTGTGTGATTGGCAGTTTTCGTCAGAGAGCAGCAGGAAGTCATCAGAGTTGATTGCATTGTCCTCTTCAGCCATAAACAACAAATAAACAGATAACAAATAAATATCCCTCATCCTCCTCTTATGAAAACAATGTGTTCTTTCACCCCAGCCTGAGGTGTCCAAAAGCAATGAGAAGTGTGTGCGCGCACATTTACTCATAATCATGGTTTAAACTGGGTAGGAATGATTCAGAACAACAAAAAAGAAACCTTCTATTCAAAAAAGAAAATATGATTGGCAGTTTGTTTAGCAATCCATCCCATTTCATATTTCTATGCTCCAGTCCAGGTTTTGTTTGTTCCATTATGCACATTATGGCTAAATTGTGGTTAAGAGAGTGGAAAAGCATTAAAGTTTGCTACTTTAAGCATGATTTATCCCATTAGCTAGTAGCGGATGGCATTGACGACATAGACAGCCACTGTTCTCCAGGGCGGCACAGGACAACCTTCATTCACTCTGGTACAGTGAAATCACTAAATCAAATCAAATCAATTGTGCCTACTCCAGTAATAAACATTCATTAACATAAAACTGCAGGATCTGGGGTCTCATTTATAAATGTTGCGTATGCACAAAATGGGCATATAAATATGCGTAAGCAATTTTCCATGCACACATCCCGATTTATAAAAAATAAACTTGGCGTAAATATGTATGAACCATACGGACATTCTAGACCATGCGTACAAACTCTTTTTGAGTGAGAAAAGTAATGAAGTAAAAGATTTTAAACTCTGTTTTCATTTCGATATGTATTTGCATTAAATATTCAACTCTCATTAATGGAGATAAGCACTGAAATTACAAAAAGTCAATACGCAGAAGTTAAAAAAATATATATGAATTTAGACATATAGTGGATGCGCTCGATCAGTTTTCCTGTTTTAATGACAGCGAGGGGTGCTATACTGTAGGTGCACAATAATTCATATTTAAACTAAACCGCAGATCTCATGATACGAGAAAATATTTTTAGCGAGAACAATGATCAATGATGCGCACTTACTTCGATATTATGGTGCACACTGCTGGATTCGGTGGTCGAACGGTCCATTCTCCGGTTTGAATAGGACCAATGATAATAGTTTACTGTACAACCGCATTTGCATGGAGGTGTTGATGTCATGTGAAGGCATCTCCACAACATTATGAAAAATACCACTGTATTTGAAGGATACAACTCGAAGAAAACGGTAAGATTTGCACATTTCCTTTTTAAAATACTGTCATACGCCGAGTCATACAATTGTATTTACACTGCAATAAATATAGGCCTATCTGTTTCCACTCAAAATGTTCACCTTTTGTTCACCTTATCAGCAAAACTGCATACATTTAATTTAATTTGAATTGTTTAAAACAATTGAAATACTATTTGGCCAGTGTAAAAGAATGAGATAAACTCTATTCTAAAATATATCTGAGAACTATTTTCAGCTGTTTTGTTTTTATGGATATTTTCATATATTTATTATAAAACATAACAAGGATACTGGATAATTTTTAGCAATAAAATTTCATGTGTATGGCACAAATAGCATTATAGTCTGTAGGTTACTGCGCAGGTTCTGGCGCACACATGGTTTTTACACGACACATGAAATCAACGAAGAGTTTTATAAATGAGACCCCAGGACGTGGATCAATGCCAAATTTTAGGGTTACTCACACTGCATTGTGAGGGCCTCTCCTGGTACTGAGATGTAACTCTTCCCTTGTGTGGGGAACCGGTAGCTTTGCAGATTGTAGTTCTGAGCGCGACTCTGTTCCCCTTTCGGGCTGTCTTTACATTTATTTTGAAAGATGAAGCTCGCGATTATGGTAAGGGGCGTTACATTTCCGACGAGTGCTTGCGGTGTTCGGCCAATCACAATGCACTGGGTCAGCTGGCCAATCAGAGCAGACTGCGCTTGTCGGAAGGAGGGACTTTATAGAAAACGAAGTGTTTGAGAGAGGCGGGGCATAGAGGACCTACAATAATGTACAGTATTAGAAAAATAATGTGTTTTTTGAACATTAAAGCATGTCAACATATTCTGTTACACCAAATACACAAAATAATGATCTTTAAAAAAGCATCATATGACCCCTTTAATATAAACACGGTCAACACTGTTTACTTCAGCTGTATATTAGCTCTGTTGCTTGTAATTTGTAACTTATTTTTATTACAGACCGTAATGTTCTGAATAATTGTCTGAATAACTTGAAACAATTTTTACATAATTGAAATAAATACTTGAAAGCTACATTGCATTGTTTTAAAAATGACAGCAAAGACATTTATAATATTAGGAATGATTTCAATTTGAAATAAATGTATAAAATCATCAAATAATCCTGAAATAATGTATCATGGTTTCCAAAAGAAATATTATGCACAACAACTGTTTTTTCACAATATTTTTACTGTATTTTTCACCAAACATAAGAGGTGAACAGTTTAACTTAAAATAAAGGATAAACAGCATATTCACTTTTCTAGTGATATTAAAACTCACACAGAGAAATTGTGAAATTATCTGTAAACTACTGGTACAGTATATGCTATTAAAAGTTGGTATCGTGCCAAAGCTATTGCAGGGTGCCATCCAAATAATATAATGGGAAGTCTTTTCTCAACATCATCTCTTGTTCTTTTTTTTTTTCTGTGATCTTGCGTTTATTTATGCTTCATTCACTGACTGTAACATTGAAGTTCAATAATATCTCACGCAACCCAAAAAGTTCAAGCGACCTCTGCTTCTCACACACAAGTCTTATCATAGCAAAAGGAGGATCAGAGACAGAGTTGACTCTAAAGCGTGGAATCTCAGAGGGCCTGATTCAGAATTGAGACTTCAGCAAGACTTATCATTCTGAATCTAAACAGAGCAGATCAAGAGATGTTACGACCCATATCTAATTCATTTCATGTTACGTTTTTTCAGACATGATAGACATGCAGATTGTTGTGTGATTCGTAACCTAGGGGCACTTCTGACTATTTAAAATCATTAAAAATGAAATTTGTACCAACTGTTTCTCATATATGTTAGACTGTATAAAAAACAGGAGATGCAGTAATGAAACACAATAAAAAGCAGCTGCAACATATGGCTGTTTAGCTTTTTCAAGTCATGTTTCATGTCTCAAACCTCAAATTCCTTAACTCTGGCCTAATTGTACATTGTGACACACACCCGGTATGCTGCATTCATGCATATGGATTAGGTACACGTCCCCCTGTGAGCATACTTGGACATACTCCACATACTTCAAGCCAGTCATGTATGTAGAGGAAGGGGAGGAAGTGTGAATTTCTAAGAACTGATATTCTGGAAATGGAAGTTTGAAGAAGTGTTTTGGAGTGTGTACTGACCCGCTACAGAGCTCTTGCCCCCTATGGCCAGAGGAGCCTCTGCGTCTGGGCTGGACCGAAGCTTGGAGGCCATATGCACCATCACTTTATCCACCGTTTCCACCAGCCCATTGACCACTGGACTCCACTGTTTACCATGACAAAAGACAAGTCCAAAGTATATTACGAATCATTGAGGTTACACAAATAAGAACCAGATGATTCTTTCAGCTACTAATAAGTGTGTAGTACCTTCAGCTCCATTTAACACATTTTACCATGTTTGAATTATTTCAGAATTCAAAAAAAGTCTGCAGATTCATCTGGACCTACTTATGAATGAATGGACTGATAGAATCTTTATATCTTTCCAATCATCAATCTATCCATTAAACGTACCTCATCGTTTTCTCTCCAGTCGCTGGCAGTTATGACCTCATCCACGCTCTTCAGTAGAGACTAAAACATGCAGGGCAGAATAAAGCATAGTTAAAAACGTGTGTGTGTGTGTTAAGTCTAAAAGAAACAGGAAATATGCTTCTATATATTTTTTAACCCACTTTAATTTACAATACTGTTCAAAAGTTTGGAGTCAGCAAGATTTTTTTTATTTGTTTGTATGAAGTATCTTATGTTCACCAAGGCTGCATTCACAGTATTTGATTAAAAATACAGTAAAAACAGTAATATTACAAAATATTATTAAACTTTAAAATAAGTTTTCTGCTGTAATATACATTAAAATGTAATTTATTTTTATGATGAAAAACTGAATTTTTAGCAGCCATTACTTCAGCTTTAAGTGTCACATGATTTTTCAGAAATAATGTTAATAAAATAAAATAAAATTTTAGAAATAAAATAAAAGCATTATTTCTTTCATTAAAAAAAACATTTTGAATGGTAGTTTATCTTAAAAAAAATTTGTAGTGTATTTTTATAAGTGAATACAAATATTTCCATGACAAATGATAGACAAATGATAAAAGCATAATCATTTGATTGAAATATGGATCGAAAAGGTAGCATTAAATTGTATTGAAGATGTTCCAAAGAGCATTTTGTGCTTCAACAGAAGCATGCCTGTCTGTAAAAAATAATCATACAATTAATGTCACAAATGTACTTATTTCACCTATTAGTGACCTAAAAATAGTGCAGATTCTGAAATATTTATTTTCTTATACCTCTATGTTCCATTATGATTTCCAAAACCCTTAAACTTCCTATCTTTACCTGTGTAAGATTGTTGGCTGTTTCCTGAGGTATAGTCTTGTTTGGAAGGTTAAATGACTGAAGGAGGTCTAGCGTTTGTAACCGCATGGGGTCCTGAAGTCTCTGAACTTCCTCTGTCAGGTTTGTGGAGGCAGGTCGGGGCATCTCTGTGGTTCTCTGTAACACACACAAAAAAGTGGATATGTGTCAACAGCACTCCATAAAATTACCCACAATCACATGTAATGGCTCTGTGTGGCTTGGACTTGGCATTCAAAATATAAAGGCGTTCTTTTGGTTTCCCATAATTTAATAGAATCATTTCAACAACAAGCATCAGAATAGCTGGCGCTTACAGAACAGCTGAAATTATTTAATTAAATCTCATTCTCATGGGATTTGTGAATGTCAATGTCAACAGCAAAGCTGAATGCCGGTCTTACTTGAACTTTCCAAAGAAAGAAGCTCCAAACTAGTTGTTTAAAGTCTTATTTTTCATCCATACCCTATAAGAGGCCATTACGGAAAATCTTCTCTTCTACTTGACCTCCTTACTCAATAACGGCCAATGTTGTCATTTGTGCGAATGCTCAATCTCTGATTTCTTTCCATTTCCTCAGAGTCTGGGGGGAAACAATAGTTCCAAAAGAGCTGAATTTGTTTGTTTACAGCTTCGGCCTCCACCTCATTTCCTGCTGTGCTCTTGTACGTCTGCCAAGGGTGTGTGCGTCTATACGCACACAGATGGTCCCAGAGCGATGTCTGCATTGGCTTCATAACACCTAATCATCCAAGGGTGTGTGAGGTGTAGTCTGGGAGGCCGTTTTGTGTGTGTGTGTGTGTGTGTGTGTTTGTCTGCATTCATCCACTCAATTTAATTACTGCACAGAGAAGAATCTGAGCAGACAGATTGAGGGCCTGTAAAAGGAGGTGTGTCAAACACTGCTGAGAGCCTTTAGAGAATATGTCAGTGTCTTGAATGGCCAACTTAATTTACAAGCATTCAAATGAAGTCAACAGAATGAGTGTATTGCTCTCGGTGACTGCTGCTCTCCATATGCTCACATTTACGCCGAAGATCTTAAAGGTGTGCAGTTATTTCAGTAAATGTCAATAAGTTTAATACTTTCCCATATCCCAGCTCAATATGTTTTTACACTTCATGATACAAATGATAAAAACTTTTAAAACTTTAAAATTGAAATGAAAAAGAAATAATAAAAATATCATCTAATTCAAAACATTAGCAAAAACCATAATAGCATATCAGTGATACAAAAATAACACTGACTCAGGAACCTGTTAGATTTTTTTTTTTTTTTTTGCAATTAGCAGACCGTAATGACATAAATAAATCACATAAGTAACCTTCAAGGGTTATGAAGTGTATTTTGGGGGATTTTTAGTTGTTATTTTGCTTAAACTCTTAAAAAATAAAAACTTAAAGACTTCATTGCAGTTAATCTAGCCAGGCTGGGACGGTTTTGATTAAGGCTGATGAGTGAGAAATCCCACCTTGTACTTGTGGTCGGTTCAGTGAACTCAATTAATCAAACTAACAGAAACCAAAGACAAACATGTTTCGTAATTAGATACTGGTGAATTCACCGCAAGTACTTATTTCTTACTTTCGCTGAGAGAGAAGCTAGACAGGTTAGTGCTTACCCTCATTACAGATGTGTTTGCATTTACGTACATTAGTCTAACAAAATGACTGCCCTGAAAGTTTCAGTGTTTTTTGGGAATATTGTAATGAGTGCTCCCACCATGTGAAATCTCTTAGATAACCCTGGAATTTGGAGTAATGTGTGATGAAGTTGTATTTCTGCGGTTATCTTTCTACACTCCTCTGGTCTGGGAGACTACAGTCCTGACTCACAGAAACAGATTCAGAAAGAGCAACGGGTGACCTCAGGTCAGAAGAATTTACCTTTAACTGAGTATCTGCAGCAGTGACACTGATGGATGCTTCGGTTGGGAAGGTGGACATCACATTCTCACCTGTGGTGACAAAAATAAATTAAATACTGTGCAAAGCAAACAGACACGAATAATAAATAGAATTAAATGTATGTATATATATTTTTAATATTTCTAACATGTATTTGATAAAATAATTTTCATTTATTTCAATAAAAATATAATAAATAAATAAGAATAATTAAATAGGTATAGGATAGTTTAAAGGGGTCATATGACGTTGCTTAAAAGAACATTATGTTGTGAATTTGGTGTAATGCAATGTGTTTATGCAGTTTAAGGTTCAAAAAACACATTATTTTCCACATACTGTACATTATTGTTTCTCCTCTATGCCCTGCCTTTCTGAAACGTGTCGATTTTGCGTGAACATTTGGGCAGTGTTATGCAAATCTTCCCACACAGTGACGTAGACATGTGGGAGCGTGTTTGAACGAGGCATTTTAGAAGGGCGTGGACAAGTCTTAACTTTTATAAAGAATGTCTCTTTGGGTTTGAGACTTTAGTCTTTGCAACTTTAGGGATCTTATCTATGCACGAACAGCTTGTAACACTCCAAAGAGAAAGGAAAATTTGAAATTGCATCATATGACCCCTTTAAAAAAAAAAAGCATAATAGGACAATTGAAAAAATTGAATGCTGTAATAATATGACATCAAAGCTATGCACAGAAGCCATGATCTAAAGAGCTCTGAACAAGTACTCTTCATCTCACGGAACAAACAGTTCACACCTGCTGGAAAGGCACATGTGATACCTTTCCCCGAAAGCACATGTCGGTTGCAGTGAAGCTGGTTTATAGGGCCCCTGGCAAAGCAGCTCTCTAATGACTCTGTACTATGCCCCTCATTAGAGCCTATTACAGCTGGACGTGTGCAAAACAACAGTAGATTTTCTCTTCTTCAACAACAACATGTTTTTTTTTATCATTAACAAAAGGTCTTTATCCCTAACAGGGGCTAACAATCAGCGCTGTGAGAGGATATATTTCACTGTTTCTAAAGTGGTGGCCAATACCTCCTCCAGAGTGCCAACATCAACCTACATAATCACTATTATCCCTCTTTAAAAGAGACATGGATCCATATTTGTTAAAGTGCCAGTATGGATGTTTTATGGAACTAAATTGTAAAGCTGCACCATAAAAGTTTAAATAATTTACTTGAGAAACAAAATTGTTGAGATATAAATGTATTTTAAAATTAAGGTAATGGAGATGGTATTGAATTTTAGCATGGTTTTACATTTCACATTCATGCAGATGCTTTTATTGCACTGGAACCAATGTATTTATTTTTGGATATTACTGTTTGAGAAACACTTTGTGCTTAAAAGAGGAAGAAAAAACGATTTGCCAATTTTACTTCTCCAGATATATATATATATATACATATATTTATATATATATATTTACTGGAAAACAGACAAAAATAATGAAAATGCATCACTACGGGTTTGACCTTCCAGATGACCAGTCCACTATTGTACTTAATGTAATTTTCTTTTATTAGTTTTGGAAGAAAATATAATCTTCTTCATATGGTAATGGAAAGGCATGACTTCAAGCTTTTTGTGCTGTCTGGTCTAAAAGGTCAAGGTTGGTCTAATTAGCATGGCCCTGTTAGCCCTTGCTGGCAGATTCTGTAACTACACCATTATGGTGGGCATTTGCCAAATGGCATTGAGATTAATGGGAATGCTAACGGATAGTTTTCTCCAGGTGTTAAAGACCTCATTGGTCTGCTCTCTGATACTGATGAAGATGGAAACCATTTGTAGCCTTATTGGAGCTTAAATTTGTCTTTGCCACACTGAAGACATTTTGTCTGCAAGAAACTTCAACCAGCTGCCCAAATGAGTCTCCAAACACTTGCAGTTTAAAAGAAAACCCTGATATAAAACTCATCCCGCCGCCACATACATATAAGGTAAAGATATGCGCAGTTACAAACAAAGCCAACAAAACTGCCTTCAAGAACACATACAAACATATAATGGTATTTCAACAGTGCGTTTCAATGTGGTTTGTTTGAGGACTGGTGGAATGTGGGCCAGTGTCTCTGAAGGAAATTGTCTTCAAATGCTTCTTCCTCTCTATAATAACCTGCATGCAGGGTAATAACTCCAATAATGGCAAAAAAGCAAAGCGGCACCATCACAGATGTTTCTTATCCATACAGTCAAAAGAATGAATGAGTCAAAAGTCCACCAATGGCACTTAAAAGTACACGTTTTTCTTTGTATTAATCTAGATGATTTACCATTCAAAAGTTTGGGATTGGAAAGTTTTTTTGTTTGTTTGTTTGTTTTGTTTTTTTAAGTGTTTTTTAAAGTAGTTTCTTATGCTCACCAAGACTTTACTTGCATTTGCATTTATTTGATCAAAAATACAGTAAAACAGTAATATTGGGGAATATAATTACAATTAAAAAATGCGTTCTATTTTAACATATTTTAAAATGTAATTTAATCCTATAATGGCAACGCATTACTTCAGTCTTCAGTGTTACATGATCCTTCAGAAATCATTCTAATATTGCTGATTTGGAGCTTACAAAACATGTCTTATTTTTTCAGTATTGAAAACAGTTGTGCTACCTAATTTTCTGGAGAACATGATGTAAACAAGTTTTTTTTTTTAAAGATTATTTAATGAATGGAAAGCACACATCTGAAATAAAAATCTTTTGTAACTTTATAAGTAATGTATGTTCACTGTTACTTTTGATTAAATTAATGCATCCTTGCTGATTAAAAAAATCTTACTGACCCCAAACTTTTGAACACAAAAATATTAAAAATTATTTGTTGCTCCCAACAAATATTAGCAGACCTAAGCCACACTTGAAAATGTTATTAGATCACAAAATATAAACTCAAGTGGCATTTATTTAATTTTATTTTTAAGATTTTTACTTCAAAAACCAGTTTTGTGTGCAGATGCTACTTTAAAAAAAGTTTAACGTTTTCTATATTCAATGCAATAACAATTTAAAGGGGTGTTTGACTGTTTTTTTTCTAGTCTTGATTGTGTTTATGGGGTGCAGTTTTACATGTGGTAATGCTTCGTTTAAAAGAAACCGCATAATTTTTCACATAATTTACCTTTATTCCACACCGCTCTGTCCCTTTTCCTATAAACGCACTGATCATTTCCTGCTTTTATGAAGCCCCTCCCTCAGAAATACGCAAAGGGCTCAGATTGGTTAGCTGGTCCAGTGTGTTGTGATTGGCTAAACCGCCTCTAGTGCGCGTCTAAGGGTCCCGCCCCTCACCTCAGCGGCATGTGCTCCGATTGTATTGTAAACAATGGCATCATTTATATTGCTTATCAATTTGAGCCCGATTGAAACCCAGAGAATTTTAGTGAAGAGGATCGGACAGAACCTGTGAAAGCACGGCTCTTAATGGTATGTTTTTTGTTGTCTCATAATTTTAGATACGCTGTTATTTGAAAATGCTACTGCTTCTGTTAGCTTTTAATATACGGTTTTATCTTGATTAAAGCTTTAATACAGTACGGCAACCGCACGTATAACACTTCTCATAGCTATGTGAAAATAAGTGTATAATTGGAACAGTTCATTGTTGGAGCTGAGCTGATGATCTGAATGAGAGAGAGAGAGATGCAGAGCGTGTGCAGAGCAGGGCGATGCGAGGAATAGAATTGAGAAACGCTGCTTTAGAACATTGATTTTGAAATTTGTGAATCCATTAGAATCATTAGAAGACAGAATTGCGATTCATATATGAATAGATTTTTATGTGCATCCCTAGTTCCTTCTCTAAAGCAGCACAACATGGCCTCGCCCCCTTTGCTGCATGTTCCTCGGGGGCGGGGTTTATCTGGGTTTGTGACGTCACGAACCCGGGAAGTAACTCGTTGTAGTCCCTACGAACTGTTTTTGTAGGCATTAAACTGCCATAATTTTAAAAGAAGATATCTCCGTGAACTGCATTGAACTTTCAGCGTCGTAACTTTGCAGATATTGTTTATGCTCAAACAGCAACATTACACACTAACTAACGTTAAAAAAGTGAAATCGCAATCAACCACCCCTTTAATGCAATCATACATTTAAGCATTGCTTAATTGTTCAATTGTTCAGTGGCATAATTGCTCTTGTACTTCAAATGAATAAAGACAGAATTAACCAGGAATATTTAATATATTGAAAAGCATGGGGTGCTACCATCTGCTAAAAGGCAAGTTGGGACAAGCCAGAGACACCAAAGATCAAGTGCAGCTAATTTGGGAAGCCCTGACAACAACAGCAATGGCTGACAACTGCAGAGAAGCACATGGTTGGGACAAGTGAAGGCTGCCACAGAGAAATTAAACGAATAGATAAATAAAATGATAATGACAGCAGATTTGAGTCACAATAAGCTCCATAATAACTTACCAATGGCTGCTTTGTAGTACATCCAGATATCCTGAGGGGACAAGGCCCTCTCCCAAATCACAAACTCATCGAAGGCCCCTGTGGCATAGTGGTTGTAATTCCCAGTGTTTCCTGTGCCAATGACTAAGTCAGCATAGGGATCGCCGTAGTTAAGAGAAACATTTCCTGTGGGGTCTCCGACACTGAATGTCCCATTAATGTAGACCTTTAACCCCTCCGTTTGGGTCCATGTAAAGAGAACATGAGTCCAGTAGGGCCCTAGATAAAGATGACAGGAGAGAGAAAGCCAGCAAAAGAAATTTCAAACAAGCATACACAAATTTCATGTTTTACTGTTTGGAAATAAAGATAATAGTAATATTATTTCCAGATCTACTCATAGTGTCTAGGTCCATAAAACACAAGTTTAAAATGAACAGAAACTAAGAGCTGAAGACAGCATGTGGAATGGATTTCATCAGCTTATAATGAAGCCAATAAGACATGGTATACAGAAACTCTGAGCTGAACTGTCAATGGCTCATTTCATCTGTCCAGGGATAAAATAGCACATGGAGCATGTCTCATCACATCATCCCACTCTGTACGTAATGTTTTAATATCTCTCTTTTCGAAGATTGGTTTATACTTTGGTAATACCCGTTTTAGTCTTAGGAACGATACTTGGGGATCTTGTTCATTTTCTGACTTTATCCTACAGGCTGCATTTATTTGATCAAAACACAGTAAAAACAGTAATACTGTGAAATACTATTACAATTTAAAATAACTGTTTTCTATTTTAATATATTTTCAAATGTATTCCTGTGATTGCAAAGCTGAATTTCCAGCAGCCATTACTCCAGTCTTCAGTGTCACATGATCCTTCAGAAATCATTCTAATATGACTTGGTGCTCAAGAAATATTTCTTATTATTATCAATGCTGAAAACAGTTGTGGTGCACCAATATTTTTGTGGAAACTCTTGATAATATTTTCAGGATTCTTTGATGAGCAGAAAGTTCAAAAGAACAGCAATTTAATTTTTAACAATTTAATGCATTTAATTTCTTCACAGATGTATTTAAAAATATATATTATTGACCCCAAACTTTTAAATTGTAGTGTACAATCACTTCCAGATACTAAAGATGTATTCTGGAAATGATACAAATCCCCAAATGACTGAAAAATTTTAGATGAAAGAAATGATTATTTTCTCGGGCAGCTGAATGATACGACTTGAGCTACTTTTTCACTCACACTTCCATTTCTTTTCACAGTTCTTTTCACACAAATTTAAATCACTCTGTCAAGTCTAAAAGAGAAAGTTTATTCTGCAGCCTATCGACTCAAGTACTTTTGGACATCTGGATGTAATCAATGTAATTATGCACAAAACTACATTTTCAAAATATTTACGGTTAGACTGCAAATGTAATTTCAAACCAGAATATATTTCAAAATGAGGCCATGTGAGCAAAACTTCAAGATCATGGGAAATATTTTTTTGGCTTTAAAGATAAGGCAACATACTATGGTTCCCCAAACCATTTAAGCACTTTCCACATCCTGAACTAAAATTCCCCCCACACACTCAACTAATAACTACAGTACCTGGAAGTTTAATATGTGCTTTCCATGTCTTGGAGTCTCCTCTCGTGTAGAACTCCACGTATCCGCCATGAGGGTTGGAGTAGACAGAGAAACCGCTTGAGATGATTTTACCTCCGGATGCAATCGCAAAACGAGAATCTACTTCATTATTTTTCCAGAAGAAGGAGAAAGTTATCCCTGTCCAGGAGTAAGAGTTAAATAAAGCTTTAGTGTTGAGCACAACGACACAAAGAAACTTTGAGAAAAATACTGTACTACTACATAATACAGCATACAGTACTTTACAGTATTTAGGCCGTGATTTGATGCTCAAACAATTGCATTTATTCATTCAAAATAATTATATTTCCCTTTATTTTAACAATGTTTTAATAATAATATTTAACGTACAATATATTACAAATATATTATAATTTGATGTAAATTAGTACATTTTAAAATAATAAATGAATAACAAAGAGTGATGTAGCAATAAATTTAAGCTTTCAAGTCTAATGTTCATAATCCTTTGGCTACGACCAAAAACCAAGCTCTTTTTCCAATACGTTCTGATATCTAACTTTAAACAAAAGCTTCTTTATTAGATCCAGGCCGCTTCGTCACAAACAATATTGCAAGTCTTACTTTGGTCAAGCCTTGGAAAATAAATATAAATTCAACATATTCTCTGTTTTTGAGAGCAAAGGAATGTGCGCTGATGTGAGCAGATGAATAACAGATGATATCAGCTTTCACGCACAAAGCGCTTGATGTAAGCTGATATATTTGCTCTTGAGAAATATAAACTTAATTTTGAACCATTAGCCTTTATTACGTCATGTATAACCTGAGCAACACATTACTCAACTGTCATACATCTATGACCATATAAAGATGTTCATGCACTTCTATAACAATAGAAAAGAGTGCAGAAGGACAATAAAAACTCACCGGCAGGTCCACACAAAGCAGGATCACTTATGCAGGAGTCTTTATAGTTGCCAAAGTGAAGGAAAGTGGCCCCATTATCACCGTTCAGATAGATACCCTTATTCACCATTCCTTCTACAATGTCTACATGATGAGAGAGCAACCAACAAGATTATAACACTTGAAATGAATTTCAGAAGTCATTACAGTTCATAATCATCTCCTGCACAAACCTACTTCATCATTCTTTCCTTTTTTATCTAACACAGATTGAAACCTGAATATTTTAGGTGAATAATCATTGATAGTCTAACTGGAAAGACAGCTGTTTTATGCTCAACAAAGTCATTTGTTCATGTGATGTATTGACTAGAGACTTTATGGGGAAATCCTAACCTTTCACCCATATAGTAAAAATATGAGTACTCTAAAACAAGAGCAGATCTCCTGAATTATGAGGATCTGGGGAATTACTGAACTGCAGATGATTCACGATTGTCTGCTTTTTTGTCAATGGTAAGTTGTTCTTCTTTCAATTCACTGACTTTGTTAAATAAATCCTCCTTTACTAGACCTAAAAAGCCAGGATCTGTGGATCACAGTGGGAGCCACAGCACCATCGCACCTCATGAATGGATGAGTTGAGAGAAGAGATGATCATGGAAAAGAGTGCTCAGTGAAGACACAGTGGATGGCAGAAGACAGAGAGGAGACAGACTGAAGTATGGAGTGAGTGAACAATAGTTGTACTGTGGGGGCAGAGAGATAAAGAGGTACAGAGGACCGAACATCCATCTATGCAGTGAGATCCAGGGTATCGGCATGCCTTTGTGAAGTATTGTGCAGAAGTACCTTAAATGTAGCTTTTTAGAGTGAGATTCTGAGGCAACTGAAATATGAATAAAAGGTTTCCTACAGGACAAATAATGTACACAAAAGAGATCTGAATTACAAAATTACATACTATAAGCAAGCCATGCTGATATTAATGCTGTCTTTATATGCTATCAGAATTATCATAAATATTGAACAAGTTGCACTGGAAGTTTCTACTTGAATACTACAGTAACATTTCAAAATGGTGGACTGTTTGAAAGGAATGTTATTTTTATTATTGTTTATTTTTTAAACTGTTCAAGGTTTTTATTATTATTATTATTTAGGACTTTTTTGCATTTTTAAATGAACAGCTTGTTAGCTGTTGCAATTTCAGACATACTACACTATTATTCAAACGTTTGTGGTTAGTAGGATTTTTTCTTTTGTGAAAGAAAATTCAAAAATTCATATTATTATTCAGCAAGGATGCATTAAATTGATAACAATTAATAGTAAAAACAATGTTGCGAAGTGCTTTTGAATTCCCCCCCCCCCCAAAAAAAA